ACTACATCAATACCTTCAGCCACTTGAAAATATTTGAAACTATACTTTTTTTCCTATATATCTGCCATCTTAGATTCTTGGGGGGGTTGATTAAGAAGGATTTTTAAATAATACTCAATTATCTTTTTTTTTCCTGTAATTCTATAATGTTTTGGTGATTAGTTCCAAAATAATTACCCTCTTTCCAAAGAAAGTCAAAATAAGTTCCAAAGCATAACCTACAAACTTCTGTAGACGCTGATACAGGTCAAGGGATTGTTGTAACTTTTGGATTTAAGACAAATAAACCCTTGGGCAAACAACTGTCAACTAATTGACAAACGGTTTTGCTTTGACTAGGTAATAATCTGGGTAAACCCTGGGCTGTTAGTCACTGATTTGTGTTCTTAACAATTTTTAGTGATTAGTTAAATGTTTAGTCTCACAAGTAAAAAACTTCAAATTCTGTGATTTTCTTAACTTGGGGTTGGAACTCGATGATCTTTAAGGTCCCTTCTAACCTAAACTGTTTTATGACTTCACAGTTCATGTTCTAGAATTCAGTGTGGAAGTGGATCAACCAGACTTGATGCAATTTCTCCACCAGGTGACTGGGAGATTCCTATTAATATCCTAGTTTAGTACCAGATTTATCCGTCTTTGTAACATTGCCTTCATCACCTTGCAGTGGCATGGAGCCATTTGAACAGAAGGATAAGAATATGAGCAACCAAGAGATGATGTATGAGAAAATAGTGTGCATGGAGGACAGGTTTTTCACCTTGTAGTCCTGAAGTGGAAGTTGGTTGACCCTCTTCAAAGTCAGTGGGGAAATAGGATATTTAAACAGTGCTTTAGCTGTTTCACAATAAATGCTGGGTGGATATTACAGTTCTGAGATACAGCTTTATTTCCTTGTTAGTTACCTGCTGATGCTATATGTAGTGAACTTCCTTTGTTATTATTGCTCCTTTAATTGTGCTTGATCTTGTTTTCATGAAGGTTGATCTGACTTGGTAGTTAAATTTAGTGTCTTGCAAAAGAAAAGAAGAATGGAGATATAGTTTCCCAATTGCTAATCAGTTTTAAATTAAATTAAAAAGAAAAAGCTAACTTTTGACCCTTTTAGTAACTGAAGTGAGGTGAAAGCACTTAATATATATATTGTTAAAGATATGCTTTCCTAACATCTGACAAGGAATGGCAGCTATTTCATAATAAAGGGGACAGATTAACATCCTGTATGTACGAGATCTGTATGTTAGATGCTTCAGAAAACAGTACTTTTATTTCAGTTTAACTATTCGGAACATATTAAATAACAAATATGTGAAAGAGCATACTACTGAAGTTCTTTTGAATTGACTTGCACAAAATTTATTCTTTCTTTGTAACTATTTCTATATGTTGTATTTTCATATAATTCAGATTCTATCTAAAATACTAATATCAATTTCCTACTTGTAATTCGTGAGTTGGTTTTGAAAGAATGCTCACTTGTATGCTCAGCAAAACATTAAAAGAACAAAACAAAACCTGGGCATTCTCATACTGTGCAGCTGGCAGGCAATGGAACTGGCCTGTAAACAAGTTGCGTTAGTCTCTGAGAAGTGATGTGCAACAATAGCAATTAATAGCTGTACTTAGTATAGTAAAAGATTTCATTATAGTTTGATCATGTAAAAGCAGACTTTGGAATTTGTAAATTCAAATGCAGAGGACATAATTTTTTGGTGGGAATCTTGCTGCCCTTCATTGGTGTGAACTACAGTCTTCACGTTACAGATTATTTCTGTTACATATTCTGGGAGATACAAGCATTTATAAACTTGCAGATGGAAAAAAGTATTTTAGGCTTGGGGGCAGGTTGGGCCAGTCTTCTAAATTATTTCTTTTCTCCAGTGCTGGGGAAGGATGTTGTCAGTTGAAAAATGTCTGTGCCTTCTGTGTCTGCCTGCTTTATTAAATTACATTTTCAAAGGCAAAGTTCACATCCTTCCTGAAGAGTTCTGCAGAGATCACTTGAATTGGGGGAGTATCTTCTGTAGATGAGTTAATTTGGAATAAACACAGAACAATGGACAAATTGCTCATCCATTTGTAGCCTCACTTAAATATTTTTGTGTAATTTTCCCGTGAGGTTTTTTTCTACAGTGTTTTTTTTAAACATGGAAAAAACCTTCAACCCTAGGGAAGGTATATGGACAAAAAACCCCAATATTAAGTACATTTACAAGGTTCATTGTGCATTGCTGTTAGTGATGTAGATGCACAGCTTGACAACAGAAGGAAGAATTGCACAGCAGCAAGAGTCAGTTGTTTCACAGGGCTCTGTACATGGAGACAGCTGGTTAATTTTGTTTTGCTTTGAGTGTTTTTATTTACCTTGTAATCATAACTAAAAACAGTTTCCTTATTTCCCTCCAATATTCCAGTCCTGGAAGCAGGTGAAGTTCAGTGCATTCATTTTAATTAGACTACATATTTGTGTTACTTGATAAAAATTTATTATCCTTGTTAGCAGCTTAAAATATTGTTTGAATTTTCCCCTAAGCTTGGCCACAAACAAAACAAATATTCAAAGAAAAGACATCTTTTTTTTTCATCCCAAACACTTAATTAAATATCAGAGAGAGGAAAGGTTTATTTTGATTAAGGCTATGGTATCTCCTGCAGCTTGCAAGCAGCTGATTTCAAGTCCTTAGAGTTAGCAGATGTGCACTGTAAAATAAATGAAAAAGTAGCCTTTTCATTAAACACAGGAATTAAATACTCAGGATTTTGTGATACCAAGAACATATTATTGTCATATAAATTTAATCTTAGTGTGTAATAATACCAATAAAACTTGTGATGTAAAGTTTGCCTTACAGTGATCACTGTTTTCTCTTTATGTTTCTTCTTTTTCCATTTTTTTTTTTTTTTTTTTTTTTTTTACCTTGTCCACCTTTAGAGTCAGGGAAGAGGAACTGACCACTTAAACCCTGCACTGTGTCAGTGGCAGTTACAGCAATAAATTGTAAATTTCTTCCAACTGTTTGAAGCTATGCTCTATTAGTTCAGGTTTTGTTAGGTTGTTGCCTCACAAATATATGATATAGACCCTGATTTTTATTATTTATTATTAATTAGGGAAGTGACTTTCTCCTTTATTTACAGACTTCATCAGCACAAGCTGCTCGGTAACTTACCGTTCACTTAATATTCCTCATCTCAGTGATAAGCTCATGTTCAGCACACAGATGTAGTAGGTTGCCTCCATATGGTGCTTTGTCTAATGAATCAATTAGCTATTTTAGAGAAAATCCTTGTGAAAGTTTTTTTTCCCTCCTTGATGAAAAGTCATCCTACAAATAGTGGAAGAATCTGTCACTGATGTTTGTGTTTGAGCATAGTTTTAGGCAGAAACTTTGCAATAGTTTGTCTGGATTCTCATTTAAATTGTCTTTGTGCTTAGGAAAATAAGGAGGGTGGTTTTTTGCTTTAAAGTTTGTATTTGGAGGTTTTGGGGAACTATTTGCATCAAAGATACTAGGCCGTATACCTCTATTCTAGTGACTGCCTTTACCCCTCTTATGGCCTGCAGTCTCTCAGTTGTTAGGTATCATAATTGTAGTTTACTGTTGTCTTCTCAGTTATTTATACTTCCTGTGCTGTTTAGTTCTCCCTATACAATGGCTATACTTACCAATTTTTCCATTGGAAGTAGATTAAATATGTTTTGTACAATCTGCCAACTGTGTTAAGTTGCATTATAACTCACACAAAGAATCTGTTTTTAAAAAAGCATGCAGTTAAAACTTTATACTGGATAATCTTATTCACCATATTACTTTAAAATAATGGTATCAAAATGAGGGTTCTAGACTTTCACATTTCTTTTTTCAAGTAAGTAAGAGCATATTCTAGCACCCATAAAAACACAGTAAAATAATTTTCCTGAAAATGTTTAAGGGAATGCGTCAGACTGCGTGAAATATGCTTAACTTTAAATGTTACAGTAAACTGGGAGAACCCCTAAAATTGAATCTCCTTATAGGTGTAGCTAGAACTGATTATTAGGTAATGAAAATCTGACACTTTAAAAACTGGTTTTTAGCCTCTTAAAATGAGAATATGTTGTCAGTTTTAACACTGCTGAATTTTCTGCTAAACTTTCACCCCTCTTTCCCCCTCGACTACCCAGTCCACCCAGTGCCCACTTGTACCACCAGCTGTAGAAAGCTCATGGTCCTGCTTATGTGGCAGGGGTTGGCTGTGTCACCCTTATAGCAGCTCTGAATAGAACTGGTGTCACACAACACATTTTACAGCATTTAATATTAAGTATCAAATTCTCTAATTAGCCAGTTGCACAAAAATTGCACATATGGATATGAAAATAACAGTAATTCGGGAGTAGGTGCCAGGTACTGTCACACTGGGGCCTCTTGAAAAGTCTGGCTTAAACAGATTAAATGATTTCTTATTGTTATGTTTAGAATAGAGCAGAAATAATTGCAGACCTGCATTTGAACTGTTTCCCTAACCAGAGAACTATTTTGGACAACATTTAATTGCAGCTTAAAAATGAGGTCAAATAATGTAACTCTCAAAGCTTGTAATGTCTTTAATATTACACATCTAAAACAGTATTAGCACCAGACCTTTATGTGCTCACATGTGAAGGTGAGATCAGTATCGTGGTTGTACCAGAGGAGGCAGTTTATTTAGCACTTCTATGTCCCTCTCACCTGAGCTTGCAGAGTGAGCAGCCAAGAAATGGTAACAAGATTATGATCATGTGATGGAAAAGAGACACTGATAGGAGAAAAGGGAGAGGCAGACGGGAAGGCACATCCTGCAGGAGCTGTCAGTTACGGCTGCCTTTACGTATTAAAAACAAGGCAGCAGAGATTTTAGCTGTGCGTTGATTTTTGGAAAAGCAAGATTGGTTTAAGTCACAACTTGCTTAATGTAGTGTGTCTGGTATTCCTGTGCCACCATGCTGCCGCTTTACACCTTTTTAATTTCTTTCTTAGAGTCAATCTACCGCCGTGGAGCCAGAAGATGGAGGAAGCTGTACCGAGTGAATGGGCATTTGTTTCAAGCCAAACGTTTTAACAGAGTGAGTACTGTTGCATAAAATGTTGGGTTTTGGTAATGTTCTGTGGTAATTGTTTTTCTCAGCCTGTGCTTTTTCTGTATTTGAGTATTGAAAAGAAAAGATGCTTATTCGTGTGACTCCTCAGTCTATGCAGTATTATTCAGGCCATAAGAATCAGAAAAACTTGAAAGTCTTTGAACCTGGGATGGAGTTAATATGGTATTGGTGGGAATTATTTTTAATGTCTCTAAAAAGCTGGGTTTGTGCCTGTTTAAACTGATGCTTGCTTAGAGCAGCTTTTCCCCTCCCAACTGTGATTTTGATTGTTTGTTAGCATGATCTTTTGGTACTTTTTGTCACTCTTACAGCTCTTAAAGAGCTCTTGATTTTTTTGCTTTAAATGTGTCAAATCTGAGGTATTACATCATCTCATTAAGAAACAATCTACTTTCTTGAACTAAAATACAACTATTTTAAGTCAGATTCTTAAATTTGACTTAATCCATGTAAGGAAGTGAATGTAGTTTTAAGACTGAGACACCTCCTTCACTTAATCCCGTTATGCCTAAGTTTTGCAGCATATGTACAAATGTAGTACATAAACACTTCAGGGAATTCTGTACTGACCTGAGTGAAGGGGGGGGAAGTGAACTGTTTGATTCAGTAGTAACTGTTTTTTAAAATCAAATTAGTTTTGTTCCTCTTGCTCCCCACCCCAAAACTGTATTGAAAGAAGGAAAAGCCCCTTCAAACTCAGTATATTATGCCTAGATATGTGAAAAATACATCACATATCTGAGTTACAACATGCATTCGTGTAATGGAGTGTGCCAACTCAAGTTTTTTAATCTATGGTGTGAAGCACATGCTTTTTGTGCTTATTTGCTCTATAGTCCAAACATGTTTCTTTGAAATATTGTGAGTGCGTACCTGCCATGTTAATAATCCATAACGTTACAGTGTTCTGATTGAAATTAGGCAGATATTGAATATGCACATAAAGGTTTTAACACCCCGTTAGTATGACCATTTGTCAACAGTCCTAAACAAGACTACTTTGTAACTGTCTTTATACAAGTGGAATCATACAAAGTCAGAACACAAGCCATATCTACCTGCAGTTAGTGATAGAAGTGGACATGAACTGCAAAATGTGCTGTAAGAATGTATAAATTTATTAGAAGTCATGGTCTTGTATGTATTACCAAATTAGATACCAAGCTTTAACATTGCCTGAGTTTTTAAGACTGAAGTATGACCTTAGGAGTTAATTCATTTTTCAAATTAACCTTTTGGAACTCTCAGATAATTCAGGAAAATGAACAGATGCCAGAATCTAAACTTTAATCTTGCTTAACATAAAGGTTAACACATATGAAGCTCTTCGTATGTGTGTTGGAGAGCTAGGAGAGGAATACCAGCATTAATGGAAGGAATTTGGGAGCCACCCCTACATCTTCCCCCCCCCCCCCTTGTTTCCCTGCATCTGTCTAAAGTGAATTAAACTATTTTCTTGTATGTTGTTTCCAAGGCCTAAGATATTTTATTTAGTCTTAATACTACTGCTGTCAAACCTAGACAGGGATACTGAATGAAGTCTGATGGACCAGGAATTGTGAAAGAAGCGGCTATAGATGTCCAAGATTGCTTCTCTTATGAGGCAGTATGGTTGTGTTTTGTTTTTTTTTCCCCCTGGGCAATGCAGTTTGGGTTTCTCCTGATCAAGGGCAACTGGCTGTGCAGATGAGTGGGATGTCATTAAGTTCTGGTTTCTGCAGCTATCAAAATATGAGAAGGACAATACAGAAGGTTTTTTTTGTTTGTTTTTTTTTAATTATCAATTCTTTGATCATTATTTCTTTTCTTCTTAGTATATTTTTTCTAATACTACTTGTAAGGATTTATAGTAGCTTAATGCTTTTGAGCAGGACACTGTGTGATTCATTAGTCTCAGGATGTGAATAACCACACTCTAACTGGCAGTTTGCTGGGAGGAACAGACCTGCTCTGTTCTGTTCTGTGGCTTCGGGACAGTTGCAGAGCTCTGCCTGAGCCTGGGAATGAGAGCAGGGCTTCATGTGCAGCTTGCAGAGTGATGGACAATGCCTTAGACTGTTACAGGACTCACTGCAGAAAATGTGTAGATAGGGAATAATGATTAAGTCCTGTGCTGGCAACCTGTGCACTCTGTGGAGGGATGACCTGGTGCTGGGTGACTTCTTGGCATGTTAAGAAGCTCATATTACAATTTGGCACTTTGGGTAGAGTGGATAAAATGACCTCAGCACATGCAACCTGGAAAAAATATTTCAGGACCTGCCCTGTTGAAGTCAGCGGTAGAATACCTGGCTTCTTGATTTGTCCTCCTTTTGGTTTAATTTAGTCAGATGCTATGTCACTGCATGTAGGGGAAAAAAAGACCATATATTTTTGCCATTAAATGGTGCAAGATACAGAGGTTTTACATCAGACTTGATACCTGAGTTTTAATTATGCAAAGTTTCTACCTCTGTTAAAATATATTATGTGTAGATATGGAACATGCTTCATACTCTAACTTGTATTTTGTAACATTTTGTGTTCTCCAAAGCAGTCAGTCCACGTGGGTTTTATGCATAATGGTGTAGTACACATTTCTGCCAGCTTTGTTTGGGTGACATCTGTCAGAACCTGAAATTCAAAATATTCTGAGGCATAATTTGCTAATATTAAGCTGTAATGTGTTCCATAGGCTGGGGATATTTTCTTAACATTCACTAAAAAAGGACTGCATTTAATTGAATTCTAAGCATGAAGTAGAACCTTCAGTTATTAGAAAACCCCTGGATATTCTAAGAGAAATATTATTGTACATTTATTAGGATGTGACTCATTTTGTAGGTAAATTCTTTCTGCTTGATAACTACTTATTTACAGAAAGGAACTCACAACTGAATTGATAATATGAATTCTGGCTTTTAGAGAGCATACTGCGGCCAGTGCAGTGAAAGGATATGGGGTCTGGGAAGGCAAGGCTACAAGTGTATCAACTGCAAGTTGTTGGTCCATAAGCGTTGCCATATACTTGTTCCACTGACCTGCAAAAGGCATATGGTAAGTTTGTGTTTTGTGTGAAGCTAAGATGTTTCATTGTGTCCTGAGTGGCTGTTTGTGGATGTGCCTCTTGAGTAATTAAATTCTGTATATAGTGGTGGAGCTGTAACACTTGGTTGTGATTGCTTTTCACTTTCTGAACTGAGAAGATTTCTGGAGGACAAGCCTTTGGATTGTGAGCTGTAGAAACAAAGTGAGGAAAGAAAACTTGTGATACGAATTGTGTGCAAGCTTGAGTTTTTCTCTTCTAGTAGACACACCGTATTTTACAGAGAGATAAAGAGTTGTCATTGACAATCATAGAATCACAGGCTGATTAGGGTTGGAAGGGACCTTAAACCTGATCCAGTCCCAGCACCCAGCTATGGGCAGGGACACCTTACACTAGAGCAGGTTGCTCCAAGCCCCCTCCAGCCTGGCCTTGAACACTGCCAGGGATGGGGCAGCCTCAGCTTCTCTGAACAAATCCTAGATTTCTTCCTTTTAGCCTACGGGAGTATTTTAACAACTAAGGCACTTGTGTGGTTTTTGCACTACTGCATGCAAAAAGGCTTTAACGTTCTTCCACCTCAGCTTCTCCAGTGTTCTGTCATCCTCTGTTTCCCCTCATACATTCCAGTGGCAATATTTGATTTTCCTAGGTTATAACAGTAATCTGTATCCCTGAATTTTAGCCTTTCTTCTACTCATTGCTGACAATCAGTATCTCACTGTTTGTTGCATCATGTTCTTTCTAATTCAGAACTTAAACCAGTATTTTTCTTTATTGCACTGCTAGGTTCTTGCTGATTTATTTGTGCATGCTGCTATACCTACTGGAATAGCCTTACATGTCTCTCAATGAGTTGTGGTTGATACCAGTGTCTAAATGTACTATAAAACTATTTGGTATTATGATCTTTACCAATTTATGTTATACCCTTGCATAGTTAGGAACAATTCCTGTTTTTAAACAGGAAAGGAATATGCCAGTGCTCTAAATGGAGTGTGTAACACCATGTTGAAGTGTTTACTTTGTTGCTGTTCCATGTGAAGCAGACTCAGAAGTCTTAACTAGAATAAAATTTTGAACTTTTCAGCAAAATACATTAACCTTGCTTTTAGAAGACAGCTAAGCATCTCTTGTAGTTGTAGAGAATGGTCATCATAGCATTTAGGCATTTTGTAGGCTGGTTTTGTAATGCATTGCAAAATGTTAGTAGTCAGAAATACTTTTACAAAACACAGTTTTCATTGTGGAGGATACAAATATTAGGTTCTCATTGCATTGTAGCTCAGTGCAAGACATACTCATTTAAAGTTACTGCATATTTTTTTCCTATGTAACTTGTCTGTTCTGCAAGGATTCGGTCATGCCTTCCCAGGAGCCTCAGTTTGATGATAAAAATGATGATGTTGGCCTCCCTTCAGAAGAAACTGATGGAAGTGAGTACAGTCTTAAGTCAAAATTCCTGTGTTCCTCCGTTTGGAGGCCCAGTTTCCACTCTACCTGTTTAGGTTTATTTTTTAGTAAAGTTTACATTAGATTAGCTCTTATTTAGTCCCATGGACTCATTAGGGACTCAATTACAGTAAACATACTTCTGAAATGTGTCATCTGGTTTGGTTTCATTCTAAATTCATAAGCTCTGAAACCAAACCACAATGGAAAGTTAAGCATGGAGCAATTTGGAACAATAGATGTACTTTTTAAAACAAACCCCTCTACTTCTGATCCAAACTGGGATGCTAATAAATGCACCCTCAGCCTTTAAGTATTTCATAATTTAGTGTGGTTTATACTATTCTTTCTGGGCTAGCATTTTGATGATTTAACCTGTCTTGTTTTCAGGGGCCATTTACCATGCCCATTCTTGGAAATGACTCTGTCTTTTGTCAGATGCTGCTATGAGCTCAAAAGTCCATTGATGAATTTCTTGCTGTCTCAGAGTAGTTTCTGCTGCACCCTGCTGTCAGAATTAACAAGAAAAGTAGGAAAGTTTGGTCAACTGTCCCATAGTATTTAAAGCAGACTGCTGACCCTAAGCTACTCAATCTTTCCATTTATCAATTTTAAAAATGATTTCTAATGAAGACCTTAACAACACTATTTGATTTCTTTTTTCAGTTCCCTACATTCCTTCAAACCGGAAACATGACAACATTAAAGATGACTCTGAGGTATGTTTTTAAAATATCTCTGTAGGTCACATTTACACACTCTGAATCATATACTTTCTATAAATACACCAAATTATTTGTCCTATTTTTTTCTGCTACCTTAACAAAAATAAAGTCTGGTGTTTCTTCTTGAAAATGGATTAGTTTTTTAAAGCATTTTTGCTGGATGTTTTCAGGTTTCTTTTGTATCCAGCTCTTGTTATCCCAATATTTTTTATTTTTTTTAATCCCTTCCATTCATTTTGGAACAACAGTGATTTAGCAGAGGGTTTGACTTTATTGGTCCCAGCAACAAATGGAAGCTTTGACATTATCTTGTCTGCTCTCTCTAATGGATGTACCCCTTTCCATTACCCTCAGGCTATCCTTGCAGTACATGATTATGAAAGTTGGTTCAGTCTGATAATACATTAACTATCTAGCTGTCTGAGAGGTTTCACATAAATAATACCTAATAATTTATAGACAGCCCTTGTGGAAATACAAATACAATAACATACACTTAAATTCTGGTTTTCAGCTGTTTTGTAGATGATCTGATACTACCTTTGTGTACCAACAATGTTATTCCCTTAAAGCAGTTCGAACAATCCCAGTACACTTTAATTCTAAATTGCTCCAAGACACTTCTTTAAAAGTGCTTCTGACATATTTAAAGTAAATAGGATGCACTCTGCAGAACACTTACTGTTAGTTTGATACCCCACTTTTAGCTAGCCTGCACTTTTTTTTTTCCTTTACCTCCACTACAATACCTGTCATTACCATTATTTCACACTTGAGTACTTCCTGCTCATGGGTAGTAATTTTCAGTCACATCTTCAGATTTTTGTCTTGGATTCAGAGATGGAAAGGTATAAGTTTAAAACATGTCAGAATTGTGATCTGGATTTGCTGACTTTTGCCATGGTTAGTGTTCAAGTAAATACTGTTTGTACTTAGATTTCTATAGGTGCTGTTTGCTCAAGCTCAAGTGTCCTCAATTATGCTGCTCTGATTTTTCTCACCTTACTTTCAAGCTTTAAAAAAATAATTTAAGTTAGCCTACAGACAGGAAGTGGCATTCTGGGAGCTGCTTTGATGAGAATCTTTTAAGCTCAGAGCAATCTCTTCTAAGAGCAGTCAATCCTAGATCAAGATTCGTTATATAAGTACTTTCCATAGTTCAGCAGAATGTTGATCTCTCTACAAGTACAGTATTATGAGGTCAGATAAAAATAGGCCAGAGAAGTATGTCAAAGCATTGTCTATATTGGTACAACATGAAATGCAGTACCTGCTGCATTTGCCTAGTTCAACTGCTTGTGCTTCAGTCTCACTTGTTTGCATTTAACTTCAGCTGAAATTCAAGATAAATTTTATCTTTTGAAATAATGAATTTTAAAATAAAATTCTTCATAGTGGTATATTTGCTGCAAATTCTCACATTTGAGAAACAGGCATCTGCTTCTGTATGTTCCCAGGAATCTATTAGAAACTGTACCTCATACAAGCAGTTGTTGCCTAAACTGAAACTAAGACAGGTATATTCATTAGCAAATGATTGTTTCTTTATTCTCCTCCATTTTAGAGAGCCTTTATTAATTTGTACTGCAATATCTGTCAGAATATGAAATATTGTCTTCACTTAGTACAAAGGATAATTCTATGTGGTTCAAAAATTTGAGTAAAACTTCATTTCTCAGGACATTGCCTTCTGTTTTCCAGTAGGGAAGTTTAAATAATTAATTGAACGAACTACTGCCTTGAAAACCATAGTGACTTTTAGCAAGCGCAAAAGCAATACTAAGTGAACATTTCCAAGCAAATGTGCTTTTATAAGCCATTCAGTTCTCTGTGCCACTGACAATGGAAAGCAAACTCAGCACATTCTGTCCAGTGGTCAAAGACCTCTTTGCTTTAATAATCACTTGTTTTGAAAATGTCTTCTGTTTCTAGCATCTGTTTCTTTTTATACAGGAAATCAAACCAGTCATTGATGGAATGGATGGAATTAAGATTTCTCAGGGACTTGGACTACAGGACTTTGATTTAATCAGAGTTATTGGACGTGGAAGTTATGCCAAAGTTCTTTTAGTTCGGTTAAAAAAGAATGATCAAATTTATGCTATGAAAGTAGTGAAAAAAGAATTGGTCCATGATGATGAGGTAAAAGGCTGTGTTAATTGCATCCTGTTACTGTAAAAACTTACTGTGCTTTAGCAAGAAACTTTCAACTAAGAAAGCATCTATTTCTGTAATAGACGTTTTACTGAACTCATTTGTCATCAAGTGGCTGCATGAAGCAGCGAGATTATATCTGAGAGAAATGTCCCTTATGTTAATAACAATTACCAGTTATTAATAGTCTTGGTAGAATGCACATGAAAAATATTCCAACCTGGATATGCTGCAAGTGGCGAGATAAATAGGGTGGAATTTAGGCACTTAAGTTTGAAGGCAAATGAATGTAGCTGCAGATTACTGTATGTGTTTCAGAACAGGAGCTGAAACTGTTCTGAGTCATGATTTTACTCAAAACTGGCTTGTGGCTCATATTTGGATCAAAGTTCACCTTTCCAAGGTCTTCAGGAGTGTCTGAACACAAAACCTAACAGATTAATTTGATGGTGATGTTTCTTTGTTTCCTTTGAGACTCTGGTTTCACTAACTATCCTTGACAAGAAGGCCTGGTCTTTCAGTGCCAGTCTTTGTTGTCTTCAGATTGGTTGGAAAGCTGGAAGTATTTGTTGGAAAGGGAGAATTTTTAGCACAATTACATTTCTAGTTTATTAGCAGAGTATTGAGTGTTTGCAGGGTGGAACATGATCAGTGTATTGCATCAAGAGTGGATGTCTACTGCCAAAACCAAATGTCCATAAAGTTTAAATTTTGGATGGTTGTATGAAAAATTACTGAATGCTTTGTTATTGGGGGTCTGAATCTTGCAGTACTGTGCACATATATTTCAAATTTTTATAGGGTTTTATTATATGGTATTGCTCTGGGTGCTCAGGACTTCTCCCCATAGACTACCGTTATTAGTCTTCAATGATGCTTTTAAGAATGATTTTGGCTGGACAAACTAAGCAGGTTTTGGTAGTTTCATTGAATTAATTTTGAGTTTCAGATGAGAAAGTGAATTTCAGTTTATTTTGAGCATTGTAAAACCTGGAGATTCACATTGCTTATGTTACTGGCATGAGTTGCCTCAGCAGCTTTAGGATCATTTATCCAAGCTAGTTGAACTTATTTCTGTGAAGCCATGTGAGCAGTATGTCAAATATTGCAGATGTTATGATATTTTAAAATGGCTTAAATCTTGTGCAGACCTTTCTAAATGGTTAAGAAACTTCCGAATATATAATGGAATTAAAATGTTTTATAACTTCCTCCAGATTTTAGGGGGGTTTGTCTTTCTGAAGAACATACGTAACTATGATGGTGTATGTGCAAGGGAGCATAGATGTTCACAGTTTTCTGGGAATACCCCCAGTGATTATCCAGCAGGAATTCTGATTGTTCAATTACTCTATTTCAGGATATTGATTGGGTACAGACAGAGAAACATGTGTTTGAACAGGCATCCAGTAACCCATTCCTAGTTGGTTTACATTCATGCTTTCAAACAACAAGTCGGTAAGAAAGATCTGAAATTATTTTGTTTTGAAACTCTTGCTCATTGTCCTAACTGCTTCTCATAAACCAAATGTAACCAGCGCCGTCCCACTGTCAGGAGTGTTCAGAAGGAAGCATTAGTATTGCTACAGCAAAGCCAGTTCCAGCAGGGAAGCTTAGCCAGTGTAGTGTGGAGGAAGAGGCTGGTATTCCAGGTCCAGACCTAAAGGGAGAACATGAACGAGGAGGAACTGTGTGCTGTCTTCCTGAGCACAGGCTGTGTGACTTTGGGAAGAGGAAGATTGGTAGTAGGGTTAAATGCAGCATTGTAGGGGAGAGTTTATAATGCCTGGTGGTGTTGAGCAGGGACATTCTCAGAAGTCCAGGCTGTAGTTCTCTGTTCTTCAAATTAGCATAAGAGTTGAGCTGCTAAGCAGTAATAATTTTTAATAAGTTAAAAACTACATGTGTATGAAGTATTTTTTACCTACAAAGCTTAGCACTTATTGACTAGGTATGTGATTTTATTTGAAATAGTGCTTAATAAACTCTTAGCTACTTTTTTTTTGTCCTTGTGTGCCCAGTCCAAAATGGGTTACTTGCTTCTTATTTTGCAATTGGAATATGAAGAAAATCAAGAAGAATTTTCATGCCCACGCTTTTGTGTGTCACTGTGGAATTTGGATGTTTGGGGGTTGTGGTTTGTTGGGGTGATTTTGTTTCCAGAGGCACCTACTTGCTGTTATACTTCCATAAGTGAAAGGCCTTTTAAGCTAAACCAATATTTTTACCAAGTACTAAGTAGTACTGAACATCTAATGCAGCAGTTCCAGTGAACAGGCAGGGTAAGGTATTGAGGATGAGGCTACTTAGAAATACTGGGAACAATGAAAAGGCTGAGGTCAGCAATAGAAAGATCCTTTTTCATGACACTTTTTTACTTAAACTGGCATACTTGGGGAGCAGAAATATTGAAAAGTAGCTGAATGTAATCAAAACTTTCTGTATTCTTGCTGTGTCTTCTGGAGCCCTTTTTCCAGCCTGGCTTCTGCTAGCAGTGAAACTGTAGTGTTTTGCTTGGCTTCAGCCTTTTGCCATGGATAGAGCTGCAATGTCATGAATTCAAAATTTGGTTATAGCTGTAATCTTAAAATAAAATCACGATCATAACTTCATTACAAGGACAGGGAAGCACAAAACTGTCTTCAAGTGAATAAGCTCATCAACATTAGCTTCTGTTAACTGGCTCAAAGAAAACAAGTTGTAATATAAGAATAGTTTATGTATAAAGGTGCTAATAGGAGGGGAAAAGAAGTTACAAAAGAACATGTTATTGCTCCTAAATATAACTTTAATAGATTTTTAAGGTAAGAAAAATGTGTACTTATAGATGCTGATTGATGCTAAATGTAGCTGTTTGCATTGTTCCAAATACTAGCAATGCTTGTTTCATTATTGGCATAAAATACGTACCTTGGGCTTGCACAGACTTGCCAGGTAAGTGTCTTCTGAGGATGGCAACAATCTGAAACCTCCATCCTGCAAAATCACTGATGTTTGAGTAAATCCTTCAAAAACTAGCAAGGGCTATCAGTGTTCACACATGTGCTAAAACATGACTTGATAAAAGGAACTTTAAATCGCAGGCTCTGAATGGTGATAAAACATAGGAAGCTTGCAAATTGGGTAGGAAATCTGGAAGCAGAAAGTATCAGGAATGCTGTAATAAAATGCTCATGGCATTATCTATGTTGTGATTTATTTTTAGTTTTTATAAGTCTTTTATAAGTTTCTATACAAGTCTTTATATTCTTGTGGGGAGGCCTCTGAAAGACGTGCAGGCTGGGTTGTGTCCAATAATTTTTCCTGTTTTACCTTTTGAAGTTCTTAACACTTAGTGTTTCAAATGAAGACTCCTTTTCAAAGGGAAGAAAGTCATCTTTGTTATTACCAGTTAGAATGGGCTGAGAGAAGACTGGAGTATCCAAATGGAATGCTTTTCCAGTGTGTGGATATATGGAAAGGAGTTTTCAGCTCATGGAAAATGAGATGTATAAAGAAACAATACCTCCTGGGAGAGCTGCAGCTTTCACAAGGAGCCCTTACTCATCATGTTTCTATCTTGTTGGCCTCTCTGACCTTAGCAATGTTGCCTGGGTCATATTTTCCCAAGGATGAAATCTTTCCTGCAAACCGTAATAGAAGTCTCTTTATACAGCTCATTCCACCTGTATTTGTTTCTTTCCCCTCCTGACTTCTCCCTTGTTTGTTTTGAGAAGGTTGTTTCAAAAGCTGCTCTGCAGAGGAGCTAATAAGCCCAGATCTGTGCCCAGATCTTTCCTTTAGGGACTGTGCCATGTAGGGTGTGACAGAAAAGGGTCCATCATACTGTCTTGTAATTCACCCTTTTCTACAGATGAAGGTTGTGGCAAAGTCAAGGGAGGGTGGGATTTCATTGTCTGCCCTGCTAGCTCACCTATTCAGTTTTCATCACTCATAAATAGTGGGTGTGTATGAGCTGAGTCTTGTCAATCCTCAAATTCTTTAGTTGCAGTCTATTCTTCAAATACAACAGAACATTGTGGTTTTCCTTTTAGGAATGACAGTATGTTTCTGACCACTGTAATGGGAAGAGCTCAGTGATGACCATATGATTTCATAGAAATAATCTTGTGTGGTTTTTTTAATAATATGCTAGATTTTGTTACTTAAATTGGAAAGAATATTATTGTCATCTACTATTCAGCTAAAACTTGCATTTTTTTGAAAGTAAATTCAGGTTACACTGCTCTAACTGAATTTGTCAACTTGCTTTCAGTGTATCTGTTTGAGCTTTTCAAGAACTGAACCAGCACAAACAGCAAGCTTTGTAGTTATGTATTAATATTACAAATCCTACAAAACGTGCTGATCTGTAGTGTTTCCAGATGCTCATTAATTGAGCAAATATTGTAATTTATGAAAAATGGTGACCTTTTAGTAGGAAAACTACATCAAATATGGATGATAATTTTCAGGTTTTGCCTATGCAGAAACCTTGTTGACTTCTGTGTATGTAAGCTACATTTCATTTACAGAGCTCTCCAGATGTGGTGCTGCAGCTTGGCTACTAAAAATGAACAGTATCTAGTCGAGCAGAGTAAAAATCTAATAATTGTTACATCAGGGTGAATCTGTCAGGTTTACTCAGAAAGGTTTGAATTACAATTGATGCATCTTTTAAAGTATTTTTAAATACTAAACCCTTTATTTTAAATGGTCAGCATTGCTGTTGTTACTAATGTCATTTTTTAGATAAATGATAATTCTACCTCTTCGGGATAAACCTTCATTTTTGCCGTGCACCATCTTCTAGCACACTTCCATGATTGTGCTGTAATTTTTAAAGAAGTCTGTATCTCGTTATATGCTTTGAGTCTTTCTTTACTTCTGCTGCTGAGTGAGTACCTCATTGGGCAAATGTTTTTGTCTTATGTGCTTTTTAAATAAGTTTCTGCAGATTTTATACCAGACAACAGCCTGTTGTATGTAGCTGCCTCTCCTTTATATGCAGTCTGTTATTTAAATAAAGGATGTGATCCTATATGGATCAAATAAGTACTCTCTTTTTTTCTCTTAGATAGTTTCTGTAAGAAGTCTAGAAGTCAATTCAAGAGCGGAAGTGGAAATGGTTTAATTTGGAAGGATAAGAATAGTTTTTCTTCAGTTTCCTTGGAATCCATTAATTATATTATATACTTTCAGATTGTTTCTTGTCATAGAGTACGTAAATGGGGGAGATCTTATGTTTCATATGCAACGGCAAAGGAAGCTTCCTGAAGAACACGCAAGGTATTTCACTAACACAGTTGTAGTGGTTTTCCTCTGTTGTAGTTGTTTAATGTTTTAGGAAATACTTCCTAAAGTTTATTCCATACAAGTATATGAATGACAAAGAAGGAACAAAAAGTTCATTCTCAAGTTTAGAATGCACTGCCCTGGGAAGAAATGTGAATTTTGCTTTTCTGGAGAATATGTATATTTTTCCAAGTAAGCAAGAATTTGTAGTAACAGTTCCTCCTATTTACTTTTGTTTATTGCTTCATATTTAGGTAATACCTGCTTGATTCTGTTGATGGAAGATGTAACTATTCTATTTGCTTTGGTCTCACATTGAATTAATACAGTGTTGGCAGGAGAAGAGGAAAAATGTTTTGCATGGCTTTGCACTACACAAAGTCCTATTCTAACTCTGAATAAGTGGAAAAGACAGACCTCTTTCGTAGCTGGAATTTTCAGCAAAAAATGTAACATAAAGAATAAATATTTTCTTAATTAGTAGAATTAAAGTAAGTTCCCGTATTTAAATGAATGGCTTTACAATACACAAGGTCAGTGTCCTTATGGATAAGAGTAGCTTGGTTTTGGCGTGCTGCTGTTAGGTAAAAGTTGACTGCAAAGTGATGCTTTAAGAAAAGATTGGTTTTTTTCTTTTTAATTTTACCAGGTTTTGTACAATCTTAATGCTAATGGGAATTTTCTCCTTTTTAATTTCAGGTTTTATGCTGCTGAAATTTGTATTGCTCTAAACTTCCTTCATGAAAGAGGCATAATCTACAGAGATTTAAAACTAGATAATGTTCTTCTAGATGCAGAGGGTCACATCAAATTAACAGATTATGGCATGTGCAAGGTAGGATTTTTTTCTTACCTTTCTTCTGTCACTTTGTCATTCGGCAGCATCTCTCTGGTTATGCTTTTAAGTCAAATACAGCATCCAGTGATTTGTAATTTTTTCCTTTTACATTTCAAGTTATATGGGTCATTTTGCGGGACAAAAGTAGTTTGGCCCTTTGGGCAAGTCAATTTCTTTTTCTATTTGTTTGCTAAATGACTCAAGTTAGAAAAATTATGTTTAAGAAAATATGTTTTTAAAAGGGTATTTTCCATCTGTTAACTGCTCCTGTGAGTGAGTCTGAATTTGTCATTCTTTGAGGTTGGACTGTGCAGATTAGTAACCGAAGGGGCTGTCTGGTACCTCCGCTCTCAGGGGCTGTAATCTTGGACATTGAGAGGCATTTGAAAGAGCATCATTTTCAAAGCATCTGGCAAAGCGTGGCATGTTCTTAATGTGATGCTTTTTCCCAACATCTGTTAGAAAATGATTTCCAAATTGTTTATGTGGAATTGGTTTTAATTGTGCCTGTAAACAGTAAGGAAAATGTTGTTAGAAGTATGATGTGACTCAGTTTTAATCAATTAATTTGCTATGATAAGCTGTGAAGTCAGCTATGAGCACAATGAGCATTTGTTTTGCTCTAGCATTTTTTTTTTAAAGGAAGGTCTTAGAATTCCTGAGTCACTTGGCTTTTTAAGTCTAATTAAGGGAAATTCACAGAAAAGGAGGTCAGCTTTTAATTTCTACATGATTTATGCACGTAGGAAGGTTTGGGCCCTGGTGACACTACAAGCACTTTCTGTGGGACACCAAATTACATTGCACCAGAGATCCTCAGAGGAGAAGAATATGGTAAGCTGTGACTAAACAATTTGCAGTTATAATAAATTACAAAGCAAAGTTCTAGTTGAACCAGGCCCTTGATCTTCACTTCTATGAGAGAAAACGCTTAATTTCATTGAGTCCTGGCTGAAAATCTGCTCTGCAAATATTTCCAGGGTTCAGTGTGGACTGGTGGGCTCTCGGCGTGTTGATGTTTGAAATGATGGCAGGAAGGTCTCCATTTGATATTATTACTGACAATCCAGACATGAACACCGAAGATTACCTCTTCCAAGGTATAGTCATTTGGATTTTTGTATTTCTTGGAGGAGAAATAGTGAAAATTCCAGTTCCTGCAGGACAGTTTGCATTCCCTTTGCCATTGTTACCCTGTAGCTGTCTGTAAATCTACTGTAGATAAAGACCTCAAATATTTCCAGTTCTTCATCCCAGAAATTTACTTTGTTGAACTCAGATAAAATGGTCTGGAATGAGGAAGCCTTTTTCAGGCAAGAAAATACTTTTTTAAAGGTGTCCACAGTCTAGAGCTTGGAATGGTGCTTTTGTTAGAAGCAAGTCTACAGGCCAAGAATGAATTTTAAAATTGAGTGCTACATGAGAGGGTAGGAGGATCTTTATTGACAGAAATGTCAGCCTGTGGTTTTGCTCCCGGTAACTTTTAGTTTTACTTCTGATGGAATTAGTACCAACTTCTTTTAAGCAGTTCTACCTTTTAGGTATAGACACATGAGTTTTTCTAAACAGAAATAGTAATACTTGCCATATTTATTACTACAGAAACTCTAACAGCTCAGGGAATCGAGAAGTTGCATGCTCCCTAATATGCAAAGCCATTCTTGAAAGTAGTTACTGCAATTATTTAGCACAATCTGCAGTGTTATTCATATGAGCCTAATGTTAAATCAGTTACTGTTTAAAATTGCACCTTTCCATGTAGTGAGGACAGTGGAAAAGTTTTATTCCCTGCTTACACTACAAACAGTAGAAAAAGCTAGTGCAGCTAATATTTCTTTTAGGAAATCTTGAACTGTCACTATAACAGTGCCTTGAATTACTGTAGCTCCTTTAGTTTGCATTATTTTAGCTAATACTCTGTCTTCCCATTTTCCAAATGGTCACATAGTTAAATAATACAGTGTTTCTGTTGAGATCTTGGTAATGTCACATACCAAAAGCCAATATTGCTGTTTTTAAACCTGTAACAGTTATTCTCGAGAAGCCAATCCGGATTCCAAGGTTTCTTTCTGTCAAGGCTTCCCATGTGTTAAAAGGGTTTTTAAACAAGGTAAATAATATTCTCTTATTTTTAGCATCTAAGATCTGGAAGTCAGAGCTTCCTGTTGAAAGCAATACAGTTAAGAGGTTAATCTGCTTACTGTTAAGAAAACCTATCAAACCTTTGTGTGCTGTATGTTAAAAGAAGCCACTTCTTAGCTGCTAATTTACTGAGTGAATTCCACAGCACAGACTTGATTTAAAAGCCTGAACCTAGTTGAAAAAAATAACTAGGTTTGTTTCTAAGCTTTTTTTCTGGAATACTTTATAACTTATCAAGCTGATTGAAAACCCAAGATTTTTATGGGGGAAAAGGATATGAATTATACATTACTAAATAAATCTCTTTTTTTTTAAGAAATTGTAAAATGTAATTTTAATTAAAAAAAAAAGAACAAAAATTCCTTGACAGCCCTACCATCTTAGCAGTATGCAGTCATGGGGAATGTTGGAGTCATGTATATGGGCTGTAAGTGGGGCAAACGGAGACCATAACTGGCTTTGAGTGTGTAATATGAGTTTGTGTTTCCACAGGATCCCAAAGAAAGGCTTGGTTGCCAGCCACAGACAGGATTTTCTGATATCAAGTCTCACACATTTTTCCGCAGCATAGACTGGGATATGGTAAAAATTATTCTGTTTATATCTGTCCAAAAGGAATAGATTCTCTAGTTCATTAATTGTATGCACATGTAAAAGCCCCCTTAAAAACAGGGAAATTCAGTTCTATAAGAGTAAAAACTATTTTTCTTTCTTCAGGTGATGGAGGAGCAAGGTTTCTTCCATGGCCATAATGGAAACAAGCTTTGTTTTACTACCAAAAATCAGGCTTCCTTCTGAACTCTAGGAATGGTTACAACTTTGGGGTATTGATTTTAAAATAAATGATGAATTTTAAGAAGCACTGTAGGAACCATTTATCCTTGGTTTATATTTGTAGATTCTGCAAAGTCATGCACTGGGTTCTGCTGCTGTAGAATTTCCCCAGCGTACACACAAGGTGCCTGCAGTTGTGGGAAGGACTCCATAGATCCCCAGAGTCATAGTTCAGTTCTGGGTGGGCATTTCATATAGCCCTGTTAGTAAATGTTTCACTGAACATGGAAGTGTGGACTAGCAAAGCCAGCCTGTTGGAATGCTGTCACAGTAGGTCATTTCTCTTAGTGATTAGAAACCTTTTCTGCCTTGGCAGGACAGGTAGTGCTTGATTTACATGGCCAGCAGGATGGGTGAAGTGTTGTGAAACCAGTTTAGATACAACGATGGAAGATGAGGTGCTTCAGGTACATGAAGCATTTCTAATCTGCTTGTACTATATTGAAAAGAAAAAAAGACTGAAATCACAAATTATACAAATTTTAAATCAGTGGGATTACTCAGGTAGGAAACAGGGTTTAGTTACGTGGATAGGTGTGAGTAGGATCGGGTCCTTATTTAAGGATGTGGCTTGAGAGCAGTGTGGTTATTCAAAAAGATTCTTTGATTATTACTTTCAGATTTTCTTTATTGCTCCTGATGTGAGGGAAGCTTTTAGTTCCTGGGGGAGTGGATGGCTTGGACTTTAGTGATTTGGCAAGCATAAAGTTTTGCTTAAATTGGTTTTAATTTTTTAACTTTCTCTTGGCAGTTGTATCTTCTTCAGCCTTCATGGTAGAAAACCATCACAGAAATGGAACTGTTAACGTTTATTGCCACTTGAGCAATAAAACAAGTCAGGAGCCACTGCCTTATCAGCACTTTTTTTTTTTTTTTTTAATACCTAGTTGAACAGAGAGAGAATATGCCTGTAATGTTTTGACAGTTCTAGGAAGTCTACAGGTGTGTGGGAACAGGCCTGTAAAGAGGTTTAGGGAAGAAGGTAAAACTCCATTACATTTTGCCTTGGAAGCCTGATGTTCAGACTGTCCCTGTTAGTATTCTTCAGAGAAGACATGCACTGTGTAAGGAGCCAGTGGTTTAAAATACCTCATGCTTATACAGTTATTCCTATAGCAAAGGCTGTCTTTAATTTTGTCAGACATCCCTTGTTTTGCGTTCTTCCTCAAGCCTGAATGTTAGGGTTAACAACCTTGTGGTGCTGTAGTGCAGCTTGCTTGAGATTCTGTAGGAGAATGAGCATCGTGTGCTGCAGGGTTGTGTTTTCTTCTGCAGAAGTTCTGTTTTGTGATCTGATTAGGACAGTGCTGCTCAGGAGGATCTCATCTCCTGAGCATGAGAAGTTCAGCTGAACTTCTAATGAAGAGCATTGGGAAGTATGTTCAGAGCAAAATGAAAAAATATTTGGAAGCTTTTTTAGTTATTAGACTTTCCTTTGAAATGCAGGTGATGAGGAGAAAAGATTTTGACTTAAAAGCTTTTCCAGATCTTTTCAAGTTGAAACAAGAGTCTAACACTGACTAAAAATCATTTCTGTGTGAAGCTCAAGTTACATGGAAAAATAAATAGAGGTGAAATGAGCACTTCCCCCCCCCATGTTAGTCATCATAGCTGTGTGTGGCACAGCCAAGAACACTTTAGATTCCTCACTCTGCATATAGGATGGCTGAATAGCATTCAAGGAAGTGCCAAGACCATGTTTTTTCCATAGAATCATAGAATAGAATAGTTAGGGTTGGAAAGGGCCTTAAGGTTATCCAGTTCCAACACCCCTGCCATGGGCAGGGACACCTCACACTAAACCATGCCACCCAAATGAAATTTTGCTTATTTCATACATGAAGTCTGTTTTCATGCTTTTCTATAAGTTTGAACACTTCAGTGATTTTTTTTGAAGGTTTTGTATTTAAAATATAGCAACAGGATAAAAAGGACGAGCATACAACACTTAGTGTTGAAATGGTCTAAACCTTAATGTCGGATTATATTTAACATGTTTCTGTGTTCCACAGATATTTGAGTCCACTATAGTGACTGCTCTGTGCATGTGCTTTAGAGCCAGCGTGTGTGGATGTTCTGTGGAAACCTTGTGAATATGCAGTTCTTTATTTTTGCTCTCCCTCATTTGTGTTTGTATCTTAGCTGGAGAAGAAGCAAACCACCCCCCCATTCCAGCCTCAGATCACAGATGATTACGGTCTGGATAACTTTGACACACAGTTCACCAGCGAGCCTGTGCAGCTAACCCCAGATGATGAGTATGGGTTGTTTGTGGTTTTTTCCCTAATGTAATTGCATATTGAGAAATCAATTTATAAATTACTTGAAAATTACTAGGAGGAGACTCTGTAGTTAGCATTAGAACATAGCCAACTTGAAGTAAATTTAATATCCTTTTTATCCTACCTATCTTGCATAACTTCTCATACTTACTGTGTATAGAAGACTGCCTGGTATTCTAACACAAGATTGGGAGTACAGGGTTGATTTGCTGCTGAGCGTGTGCTGGGCACTGAGAGAGGACTCAAGTTCAGTTCCTGACCCAACCAGCTGCATTCTTGTAATCAAAAAGTATTAGCTTTGTGCTTGACTCTTTAATAGTATTTAACTTTAATGTAACATGAGCAGCCTATGCTGACAGTAAAATGCCTGTTTCTTATTTTTAAATTGGTATTACAGAACAACAGTCATCTATTACTTGCTGCTTTCAGGGCCTTATAAGTGCTACTTAGTAACTGTCAGTAACTGAACTGGAAGGGCAGAAGAAACTTTCTATCACATCATCATCATCTCAGACTGGTTTGGTTGGCAGGGACCTAAAAGCTCATCCATTTCCAATCCCTGCCACGGGCAGGGACACCTTCCACTAGAGCAGCTTGCTCCAAGCCCCTGTGTCCAACCTGGCCTTGAGCACTGCCAGGGATGGGGCAAATAATAATGTAGAAGAATAATAGTAGTGGTAATAGTAATAAAAATAATATATTTCTCCCCATTTGGTGTTGTTTCTGTACAACTTCACATACATACTTCACAGAAATATATTTTGTTATTTGAAGAACAAAACCAGCATTTGTACTTGATAAAACTAAATCAATGCTCTTGTTTGTTTTTTCAGAGATATAATAAAGCGAATAGATCAGTCAGAGTTTGAAGGATTTGAATACATTAATCCATTGTTGCTGTCAACAGAAGAAACAGTATGAAGGAATGACATCTTTGTTGTGGACAGTGTGAATGACCTTTAAATTTATCCTTAACCACAGTATATGCATGCGAGGCTGGAGAACTGTACATTTTGGACGGAGACCAATGATTTAAAAACAAGCAAACAAAAAAACCCCAACAAATTGCTGCTGAAAATCAAAGAAGAGAACAATGATTTTGGTGGGTGTCTTCTGCCATTTGATGATTCTTAAGTTCTGCGCTTCATTAATGAAGGAATTTGTATTTTGTGCCTGTTTCATGAAGGATTGAGACGTTCATTGCATCCGTGGAAAAGGAGATTCTGCAAATCTTTTGAGACCCACACACTCCCTACAAACGCTTGATGCAATGAGCTACCAATTGAAAGAGTATTACAGTGTAACATCCTGAAGAATAAAATACATTACAGTGGTGTTGAACCTTATTTTTGATGCCTTTTTTCACAAGTGGTACCTGTCTAAACATCTCAGATATATTTAAAAGGAGTTGTGTTTTATTAGCAATCAAAACATAAATTTGGGCACAAGATTTAAGTGCCTAAATGGATAAACGGCATTGAAGAATTATTATGTATTTGGAACATTCTTAAACCTGGTAAGTTCTGCTCATTAATATTAAGTGACTATTAACATGTGAACAGAACAATTCTCAGCTGCAGCCTCGTGTTTGATGGCACCTTTATTGGATTTGAAATGCAGAGTGACTCAGCTATATGAATTCCAAATTAGAATTTGCAGGTTTCTAAATCTGTTGTCTTAAAACTCCAAATTTACCAAAATGTTTCAATTGAAGAAAACTAAATTTGCACACAAAGGGGTTAGGAAAAGACTTAAGCAGTGCCTACACCTACAGTTGTATATTAGATTTTTGAAAAGTATTTTTATCAGCCGTACAGATATTCAGAAATAGAACAAAAGTGTAATTAAAGCACAGCCTTAAAGTCTAAGTAGTAAGTCTAGAATAACCAGAATCTAGAATACACTTTCCTGATAAAGCACACCTCCTACTTCTGATAAACTGTCTGCTTCTAGTTACTCAGTGTTTATTAATAACTAATCATTCTACTTCAGAAAATGGGAAGGTTTGGTAAAATGATTTGCATTAAAGTAATTTTTTTAATGGATGGAAAATGAATATTGTAAGAAATTGGATAAAGCAAAAGCTCTATCAAATCCCTTCTCATGGGAAGTTGGGAGGATTGGGGGCAGGGAAAGGCTGGTTCACATCAGTCTATCAGCTTGGAGAAGCTCACCTCACTGTGTTTGAGCGTGTATGTTGCTATTTGGAGCTTTGGGAGCTGTGAAGATGTACCTGCCTCTGGGAGCACCAGTTGCTTCTTGCTAGCTCTGGGGGTGTGGGCTGTAGAGATGGGGGGGGAATTATGTGGGAAGGAAAAAAAGAAACCCCAAGCCCCTGTGCTCATCTCACCTGATGTGGTGTAATTGCAACACTTCAGCTTGCTTTCCACTCACATCTGGTTTTCTCAGGGTACAGCATTGCATTAGGTGCTGAACATGACATCTTTTGGATTCACATCCAGGTCATGAGGTGCTAGGACAAGACTGCCAAAACATTGTTTCAAATTGTCAATGAATCACCGATTAACAATCTGCTTGTATCCCCTCCTTCCCCAGGAGTACACACCCCCTGCTGGCTGTGTTGATCCCATTCAGGTTTCAGCTGTGGGTTTCTCTGTTGGACTCTACCTTTTCATATTCAGCAAAATGTGTTTTAATCAGTGCTAAATAATTTAACTGGTAAGAAGTACTTGCCTCAAATGCCTGGACTTGAGATACTTTATTATCTACTAAAGGAAACATTTACCTTTTAAATGTAATCTGACAGTTTATAATTACCCCTCTCCCCCTCCTCCACCTCCCCTATTTCTTGCTGGTAATTTATTTACCCTGAATAATTTTTTTGGGGGGTGTTTTCAATTCCCCTGGTAATAAAATGAACCAGTAGTTACCCGAGTGACTGCAGGCAGCTCCTGCCTGGGACCATGACAGATCAGCTGTCCTGTGACACAACAGGGCAGAGAACTTCAAAATGGAAATACTAAAAACATGGGTTGGGTGGGTTTTTAACCTTTTTTCTAGGTTTTGGAACATTTTGGGAGGGAGGGAAGGAAGAACACGAAGACACATTTGCTAAACAAACATTGTAAAGACTACTTGATTTTATTTCAAAGATTTACAGGCATTTACAATGTTGCTGTGTTGCCAAATAGTTTGCTGGATCCAAGTTTGGTTGCTCATGTGCAAGTGTTTGAATAATGTTCTGTTCCTGATGAAGGGGAAATTTTTTATATAAAGTACTTGTTTTATAAATAAAAAAAAAATGAAGGATGTAATTAAATGTGTGGTTTGGAAAAATAAATCCTAATATATTACAAATGGATCTGGTAATGATATATAGTTGTCTTATTTGAAATAGTAAATGAAAATTCTAGCTAATTTAATGATTGTAAACCAGTAAATATGTTCTTGTAGTTTTGTATAATTAATTAGTTGGGATCTTTGCTGACCAGTTTTAATTGTGCAGAAGATGGTATACTAATCCCTAAAAGCTAAGATCATTTATATTCTTGCACATCTATTAAAGACTTTAATGACAAAGCTGATAGACTCTTATTATTTCTCAGTAAATGTACCTGAGTCCCACTTGTGCTTTTGGAAGAGACCGCACTGTGAACTGAATCTCTGATTCATCCTGTACTTGGATATTGTATTCCATGTATGTTCTGTGGCACAGGGTTGCACCCAAACCAAGGAGTTTGCTGAGATAGGAAACTGGATGCTGAAGTTGCTAGTTGGAGTTGTACTCATTCTTCCCTGTGTGAAGGCAGTTGTGATTGGAATAGCTGGAATGGGCACAACTGTTCTGCTCTTGGATACAGCCCTCTGACAGGAAACAGATGTGAGCTGTGAGGCTGTGACTGGCAACACTGTGTGGTATGAATAGATTACCATGATCTATAAACAACTGACTCTACTGGGGGAAAGGAACAACCCACTCTACTTCATCCCTAAACCATCACTAAATGTCACTTATTCTTTATTCCCAAACTTTGATGGTATCCAGGCAGGATGGAACTGATAGAAAAAGCAGCTGTTTTGGCTGGCTGACTGCACTAAATCTTGCTTTGCATCTCAGTAATGTGGAACTGGCAGGAGCGGTCTCTTACTGGAGCCCAATTAGTTTGGCATAGTCATGTTAATGTAGAAACCCCCAACTGAAGGCTCTGAATTCAGCTGTGTTCCTTCAGAAAGATAAAAAAAAAACCTCACAGCCTTTACTTGGTCTGGGTTGTGTTTCCTTTTAACATAGAAAAAAGATATTGAAAGACTGAGGGAGCTGGGTCTCTATAGTTTGGAGGAGATTGAGGGGTGACCTTATTAGTGTATATAAATATATAAAGGGGGAGTGTCACGTGGATGGAGCCAGGCTCTTCTCGGTGGCAAACAATGAAAGGACAAGGGGAAATGGGTACAAATTGGAACACAAGAGGTTCCACTTAAACCTGAGAAGAAACTTCTTCTCAGTGAGGGTGACGGAACACTGGAACAGGCTGCCCAGGGAGGTTGTGGAATCTCCTTCTTTGGAGACATTCAAAACCCGCCTGGACACGTTCCTGTGTAACCTTATCTAGGTGTTCGTGCTCCGGCAGGGGGATTGGACTAGATGATCTTTTGAGGTCCCTTCCAATCTCTAACATACTGTGATACACTCACAGAATCAGCTGTACAATCATATATGTTCTATCTAAAATGTTAAAGATGTGAAGTTTTAATAATTTCACACTTATTTTTACAGATCACCTTTCAGAAAAAGAAAAGGTCTGTGAACTTCTGGATTGCATTAAGTGAGCTACCTTCTGTTCAGTTGGTTTATTCTACACTCAGAGCTTTGGGGCATCACCAACATGCATCCCTCAGGGATTTACAATTCTACACTGTTTCAGAAGTCCTCAGCTTCCAGGGGTAACAACACTGATTGCCCTGTGGGTGCGTCTGGGAGAGCCCCCAGCACTGTTTCAGGAACCAGAAGTACTTCACATGCCTCTGAGAGGATTTAAGAGAAAAAGACCCTGACCTCGGTCTTACGCTAGGTGACTGGTGTGAGACAAGGATGTGCTTCCACCACACATTTTCCCTTTTCTTACGAGAGAGGATCCTCCTTGGCTGGGTTCCTTTGCTCTTCATTCTTCTGGATTTAGGATTTACCACATTACATCATCTGTACTTTCAGACAAGCACATAGCAAGGTGGCCATCAATGTCCTGTTGTGACAGCCTGCAAGTACAGAGAATTTGTTCAATGAGAAACAAAATCAAACACTTATTTACTGTTCTTCACCTTCACTCTAGCACAGAACTGAAGACCTGAAGCATGGTTATTAGCCTGTCTAAATCTCTTGATCTAATGACCCTGATTGTATAAATACTCCTGAAGTCATTCTTCTGTCTCTTTGTTCAGCCTCCAAGAGAAAATAAAGCAGCAGCCGAAACATCTCACAGTGTTAGAGGATCTGTTGCAAAACTCATGTTTTACTATTTTTTTTACTATATTTTACTATACTATTAAATGGTGTTAATTTCAAGAGACACAGTAGTTCTTACTATAGAGTGGATACTCAATTGCATGGAGTCTCATTCACTTGTGCTAGTTAGAGCTGGCATGTAAGACATATCCACTTCCTTTCCTCTTTGAGAGCTAAAACTAAAATGAAGACCACAGTTGCTCAGCCAGAGGCATCTGGGTCCTGGCTGAACAGGTACCACTGTGGCTATAACAGCAAAGTCCAGATATAGAAGAGCAAGTGACAGAGACAAGATTAATCCATCTAGGTCTGAAGCTAGCTTTGAACTATTGAGAATGCTGCACCAGAATGGTTTTTGGGTGATGACACAAATGTCACTAGTATTTTTGTACTAAAGTATTTAAAAATGTTTATTCTGCTAAAATGCTAACACATCAAGGTTTACCCGAGAGCTCAAACTTGGCTTTCCTTTTGAAGCAACATAATCTAGTAAACATAAGCTTCTAAACTGAATTGTAAGTAGGTAATTCTGACACTTAAAAAGTAGAAGTTTTACACAGTTTCATTACTGCCTATAGAGAATGCAGCCAGAACCAGTCTGGGGTTTGTATACTGTCCAGTTATTAAACACCAAAAAAACTCACATTCCACTAAAGCAAATGAGGCACATGGGACAACTGTCAAGAGTTGGAGCTCCTTCACCCTGATTTTCTGTTTCTTCCTTGCAGCTCTTTATTTGAGGTACACTTGCAAGAGGCAGGTTCTCTTCTGCAGATGAGCATCTGGCCTCTCCAAAGGAAACATCCCCTTGATGTGTTTGTAGCTGAAGCTCTTTTCCATGATCTCCATTTTCCATGCTGTTCTGTGCAGTCCCTCTGCAATGCTGTTGATAGCTCAAAGCTTTTGCAGAGCATTGTGGCAATGCCAAGTGATGCACAGAACTCCTGTGCCAAGTGAGTTTACATGACTTGAGACTTGCATCTGGTTTTGAAATAGCTTCTGCGTCTTCCTCAACCACATGTTTGGCTTGATCTGTAATAGTTACACAGCATGTCTTCTCAGCTGCACATGGTAAACTGCTCAGTTTATCTGCTTGGCCTTGTCCTTTATGTAGGTGATTGATCTGGCTCTGTGTTAGCTGATAGGAGCTAAGATCCTCTGGGTTTAGAAGTTCTTCTTTGCAAAAACATGGGAATGACACCCAGGGAAAGTCTTTATTTCCAGCTGTAAAGACTTCCTGTTCTTGTAGACTCTCTTCCTTGGAGCTCTGTGACACACACAAATAATGTCTCCAAACAAATGCAGTTCCATCAATACATAAAACCAAAGATGAGCATAGTACAGATACTCAGAAGGCTGAATTACACTGAAGAACGTTTTACTTACGGCCCTCTCCAGTCCTTGTAAAGCAATTAAGAACTTCCCGGAGTTTATACAATATGTATATTCCCTTAACATTTCTAAATTGATACAACAGGGTACTTTCTTAATGTGTTCCATAGAGACTAAGGATGAAAACAACAACCTGCTGCTGCTCAGGAAAAACAATTCTGCTTTAGAAGGACTGTGTGGTTTGTGTTAAGGGGGCCTACAAGGGCTGGAGAGGGACTCTTCATTAGGGACGCTTCATTAGTAGTGGTAGGACAAGGCTTAAGTCTTAAGCAGGCAAGTTTAGGTTACATATAAGGAAGAATTCTTCCTTGTGAGGGTGGAGAGGTTCTGGAATGGGTTGCCCAAGGAAACTGAATGCTCCATCCTTGGCAGTGTTCAAGGCCAGGTTGGACAGAGCCTTGGGTGACATGGTTTAGCATGAGGCGTCCCTGACAATGGAAGGGGGTTGGAACTGGATGATCTTAAAGTCCTTTCCAACCCAAACTATTCTATGATTCCCTACCACTGCTGGAGCAATGAAATGGTGGTTTCTGTGTAATTAACCTCTCTGTCGCAGTTTGCCTTGTCCAGTTTATTCCAACAGTGAGATGCCAGTGCTTCTGAGCAGCCAGGATACTTATACATGTTAACTCTTTCCAGCAAAACATGTAAACAATTTGCCATACAGCAAAACAAGCCCCTGGTAGTTGTCCTACAACAGTGCTAAGTCACACCATTACATGTAGAAGCTGAAGAGCTTAAACACGCTACTATTTAAAAGCTATTTCAGATTTCTTCCCCTGTTAACATCATCATTCAGACTGTCACTACTGTAAGCAGCACACAAAGTGCAAACAACAACAAGGGTACAGCATGCTACCTTTCCGAAGAACTCGGGAAACCTGGGCACTGCCTGCCAGTCTGCGCATTGGGAATCTTGACTGATGCCTTTCAGTAACAAACCCCATGGTTCTTCACACTCATTTAAGTCTTCTTTTTCAAACCAGGAGCAGCTGTCAGTCAATGACCTGTAACAACAGAGACAGTCCAACAGTTTGAAAGTAGGAGAGAGGGAAGAAAATACTCTGCATTGCTGTTAGTTTGCTCTTAATTAACTTCATTTATCCCTCCTGTAATGCTGATGGTTAAAAAAATGTAGCTATCCTTAACTGTGATTTATCAAAACAGAAGTTTTAAGGTTAATTTCAGTAGCTGACAGTGCATCACTTCTTTCAGCTCAGTTCTAAGTGTGGTGACCCCTTTCCTTTTGTTACCAGCTAAGCACAAGGCAGAGACTTCATGATTGAAAATACTTAGAAATTTTCCACTTGTACGAGATAAAACTCAATTCTTACCTATTTTCTTTCGATCAAGTAGCACTAGATGAGCTAAACAAAAAATACAAGTTGACAATTTTGCCATGTCAAACAGCAGAGGCACACAAACAGCATTTGTTGGTAGGTGCAACCATGCAAATGCAGACTTTTTACTTTAAAAGTGAGGCAAATTGGCCAGTGCAGGAAAGATTCAGCTGTTTAACACATTTGTTTAGCAATGGAACCTCCATCTAGCCTGCAGCAAGGTTTCTATGGAACACAGAGGCATTATTTAGCCCATAAAATAATTTTTACAGCTTACTGTGACTTACAAAACTCATACAGCTATCAAAAAATTACCCATTTTTAGGAGAATGTCTAAAAGCCTTGCTTTCACTTGTAAAAACCACAAGCAGTATTTATTATGGTCTTCACTTCCATGTGAAACAGCTAAGCGTAGCCACTGTTTTTTCTTCTCGAATACCCAAATTGATACTTGCTGAGCACAGAAATCACTGCAGTGTTTGCACTGAGGATGGCAATCACCCTGGTTCTCATGTATGCCTGGCCACGCTGACATTTAAAACTACTGATTATAAACTTGAACTGATCCATCCTAGCAAGGTTTAACTACTAAGTAAGAATTAAAAGGTTTTTATACTAGTAATACTGTGTAAAGAAAAATTCAAGAGCTGGATGGGCTGTTCATGTCAGAATACTGCTTCCAGCGTTTCCACTTCCTACTGCTGCATTTTCTTGTGTCAGTCCAGGAATGACGCTGCATATGGAATAAACTAGAGACTGGTCTCTGCCACCCTCAAGAAGAGGCGCAATGGTCCTTTGGAAGCCCATTTTCAGAGGGGGCACAGCTGACGGCATGCTTGCTCGTCCTGACAGGCTGACACAAGAACCTCTGTCTCTTCACCTCACCTTCAGCCCTCTCTCGAGGGCTGGAAAGAAGCAGGAATTATTGCTGGTTTACCATAAGTTACTCTGAGGAAAAAAAAAAAAAAAACAAAACAACACTTTAATTCTCAGGAATTATTTCTGCTGAAAAAAAAAAAAGACATCTTAATTTCCATAGCGTTTCTCACGAGCCCCATCCATACTGCTGTTCTGCGCTAGAGAACACGCAGAAGGCTCAGCGCCCAGTGCGCTTTAGTTTGCAGGTGGCTTCTCGATGTTTCTAGAGGCCCCACAGGTGATGCTTATCAAGAGGCCTTTAACGCCATTAGCGACGTGCTAAAGGCGCACCTCAGGCACGGCTGAAGAGCCAGATCCATTTTCCCGGTAAGGGGTAGGGCGGGGTCCTTCCCCAGGGCCGCAGAAGCCGTTCCTCCACCCGGCCCTGACTCACTGGCGCCGCCGGGGATGCTACTGGCTCCAGGCCGCTGGCTCTTTCCTGGGTTTGAGGCGCAGCTTGGCGGCTCCATCCTCAGACATGGCGAAGGCGCGGAGCTGAAGCCTGGCCTCCTCACACAGCCCCGCCTCCCAGCTCCCCTCGTCCCGCGGGAGGGCGGCTGAAGGGACCTGCCGGTTCCTCCTCCTCTTCTTCCTCCTTCTTCTACCCCGATTGGCCCGCAGTCAGGGTAGGGACTCTGGGTGGACCGGCTCCCGCTCCGCCCTCAAAGCCGCCTGTGAGTCATGGGCGCTGTGGGAGAGTAGGGGCCGGTTTGCGGGGACGCCGCTCTTCTGAGAAGAAACCTATCGTTCCCTGCGTTACCCGGTGTGCTCAGCCGCGCTGGGCTCCGCAAGGGCTGCAGTACGTGCAGTACTCTCAAGGTGTTTGTCTCAAAAGCCGCCCTTCCCTTATTGCCTTTACTCCTTAAACTTCCTGTATTTGTAACGTTTTGGTGTATTTGGGGTTTGGATGTGGAGCGGCAGCTGTGGAAAAGCAGCATGCTCCCTTGGCGTTGGGTGGACAAAATGGCGGTGGCGCGGCCCTGGCAGCCGGCGCCATTGACGGTGGTGTCAGGCTGCAGGCAAAGATTGTTAATCGAAATAGAAAACTAGATTGGGAGTGCATCTCTGATACGATTTCTCATTCAGGAAGCAGTCTGTTAAAGCGATCTCTTTGCCTTTTTTTGGTAAGAATGTCGATGGGTGACTTGAGGTAAAGCACTCGTCAGAGTGGAGCCGTTGCTCGTAGTTTTTGAAATGGGCAGACATAGGCTGTGGCCTCTTCACAACCAGGTCTAATAGAGAAACGGCGACATCCTCTTCATAATTCTCCAACAGTAGATAAAAGGATCAGAAGGTAAACTGCTGATTAAATTCTTCATAACTGATGCAAGAATAATTGTGCAATGAAATAAAAATTAACATCTGTACGAGGGAGAGCAGATACAGAGCACTGTCTTTCATAAGACAAATTTATTAGTGGGAAAAGATGAATCCCACATTCCTTTTCTATAACTACATTTGTGCGGCGCTGAATGGCTTGTGGACTGTTTCATTCTTGCATTCCCCATGCCAAAAAGGAGGCATCAGTATTGACTGCAGCAGTGTTAAAAGTTAATGCCTGTGAATTACTGTGTTGAGCACACGGACCATAAAAAATGTATTAACTAGTAGGTGACCTGAGTTTCTGCATGTCTTGAACAGACCTGAACCAGAAAAAAGGCATTCAGAGTTCACTGATTCGGATTTGAAGTAGATTGGTAGATTTAACCTGAGAAGTGACAGGTACAGGCAGACAGCCACCTCCAACTGTCCAACAGGCTGAAGATCATTCACTTGGAGAGCAGTCAGAGATCTGGGAGGCTCAGTCCAGTTCACTGCTTTCCTGTGTTAGCCCAGGTACTTTTTGTTTCTGCGAATCCATCTCTGCAGTGAGGTGATGGCTTTTACTCCAAGTAGTAATTAATTTTTAACATTATAAGAGCTTTAATGGGTTTCCTTTTCATGTACGAGTGAGTAAAAAAGAAATGTAAAGTGTCTGGTTACTAATGTGAATGATGTGTCTACAATAGATAGCCTAGGTGAAAAATAATTAAAACCCCAGTCGTACTAGAGCATTGTCATTTCTGCTATATGATAGGCAGACAGAATAGAGAACAAAATTCAGGATGAAAGGAATGATAAACTGGTCACTGTCACAGAGGCAGACCTTTCCCTGTATTAGTATTTGTTACAGCTATAGTAGTAGCAAAGAATTACCAGGACAGTTAGAGTGTTCTGCTTTTTGACTTGTTGCCATTTAGAAGCTGCTTCCCACTGAGGTGAGAGGAGGTTCCAGGAAATAGGTCCTCCTCTCCCTCACTGTCAGGAAAGGCATTCTCCCAAAAGTTCCAGGTGGAACAAGGTAAGCAGAACAGAGGCAAGGGGTGAATGTGAAGATTTTAGGCCTGCTGTGGAAAGAGAAATGGTTATAGCAGCAGACACAGCAAGAATATAAATAAAGCAAATATGTAGATTGAAAAGGGGGATCAGACGTATACATAGCTGAAAATGAGGTGACAGAGGAGGGGTCAAAATTTGATTTAACAATTGCTGATGTTAGTTGAAGAAGAGAAATGGAAAAGCATTTAATTTTGGGTATTTTACTTGCCAGCCTTAATGCTTGCTGTGAATGATAGGACGAGGCACTGCCTATTGCCACTTGGCGGCAGCAAACAATATAAAAATCTTGCTTTTAAAAAAATCAGCTGTCAGATTGAGCTGATGTCTGCAGGCCTCTGTACATAATTCTCTGTACATCTATGTTAGTGATTGTTTCTGCCACACGGTTTCTGCTTCTGTTCCTGTGGTAGTTGGGTTAGCATTTTACATATCTTACTATTCCTTGGATACTACTTTGACAAGTCTCTGTTCCTAAGTCACGCATTGTACCAACAGATTTATTTCGTTAGCTGTGACTTCTCCTGAAGTAGCAGGCAGAATTGGAGTCTGCTTTTCATGCTGAAGGTGTTGCTGTGTGGCACTGTTAGTGCTGTGAGTAATCTATTATAGTATTGGCAAAAGCTGTGTTATGGGTCAGCATAAAAAAGGGTTATTGTGTGATAAGGGCCACAAATGAAAGAGTATAGTAAGAATAATAGCAAACGTTATTAATGCAGCTGCTGATTGTAAAAAGCAGAAGAAAAAAGCCTTGCTTCTGTAGCAACTATAGCTTGTATGTGGCTTTGCATCTTGTGGATTTAAGTGAAAACTTGATGCTGTAAGACTTTATTTTTTTTTTTAATTGTTACCTGTTTAATGTAGTCCCATTATAACCTATGAGGGCAGGCACATCAGGGAGTATTTTAATTCATGCTCTGTCTGCTTCTACCTGTAACTACGTATAGATTTGATACTGGCATTCTAGAAATCTTTGTCCATTATGTGTACTCAGATTTTTCATTTGCATCTTGACAGAATTAATAATGTACTTACAGCATGAAGGTGGGGTATAGAATAGGACCTGTTCTTGGCTCTCCTACGTTGCACTACTGTTCCCTCCGCTGACAGAAATCTTTTTACTTCTTGCCTGACTTTGGGTCTTGCATAATTAAGTAATGAAGAGTAGTTTGTGATCTTGGAAAGAAGTTCTCATAGAAATGCAAAGAGTAGTCTTTATCAGCAGCAGCCTTGTCTGGATTTGAGCCAGTGGTCAAGGGATTTGAGCTTTTGGAAGCTAAAATGCTTCTACAGATTATCTTTAGGGATTTTCTTCTAAATGGAATGCCAGCATGTGTAGTTAGCTATTCCCTGTAGAGTCTCATCAAGCTGCACACACTTAATCTTTACTTACATGGTCCCTGATTCTTACTGTAAAGTGGGCCTCAGTTTTAACTTTTGCTCTCAGGAAGAAGGGGCTATTACAACAAATTCTAATCCTTTTGCAGTTCCTCAATCACTAAAGCCTATAAATTGCCTGCCAAACCAACCAAGTGATCTTTTCCTGGGCTGAGGGAAAGGGGAGAGTGTAAAACGCAGGTGCCAGCATTTGCTGGGTAAGAACTGGTACATTATCTACTAATCCGCCTTCTGCTATTTCTGATTTCCTACCCAACAGCTGCAACATTGAATGAGAGCTTCTGCATTTGGGAAGAATTAGAAAGCCTGGTAATGGAGGGTCTCTATTACAGATACAACAACTCACAGACAGGGAGGAGAATTTTGCTGCTGGTGTAGAATTTGGTGAGCTAGGCATTTTATAGCCTGGAAAAATTATAATTTTCAGCTGTTGTTATGGAGTAATCAATGAAGAAGAGTTGCCATAGTTTCTGCTATGTTTCTTGCAAAGCCTGATGTAATTGCATGCATGTGCTATTATTTTTTTCAAATGTACCACTTTGAGGTTAAAGCATATGCAATTTTTGTTAAAACTTTGGTGGGTGTTTTTGCTGACTGATGCTTGCAGATAGTTCTAGTCCTTCTGAAATATCTTTGGCTCTGTAGTGACAGCTCCTGCATCAAATAAAAATGTTCAGAATAAGTCATGCCTTGCTAGGATATGGAAACATTATTATGTTTAAATTATTCTATTAGTCAGTGCTTGGTTTAGGAGTATGCATTGGTAATTTTTTGTCCTTGTCAAATAGTTTGCGACTTGGGGATCAACACGTCAATTCTGCTAAATGTCATAAAGGAAAATGTTCCCCAAAATGGCACAGGAGACTGAAGCAGGTTGTAGAGCATCAGTGAAAGCTGCTGCAGCAAATGGACTTTACGGCGTATCTCTGCAGCCCAGTGTAAGCAAATGCAGCACTGGAAAGAGTAACTCAATCATATTGGCTAGCTCAGTACAGTGATAATCACTGTCTGCAGTGAAATAGGAAAGTCTGACTATTTTCATCAACATGATGTGTTACAATTCAAACCACAAAATTATGAAAGCTATGTAAGACTTCCTTTAGCACAGTCAGGAGAGTAAAGATGACGTGCAGTTTCAGTTTGGGAATTGCAGGCTCATTGCTCTTTCCAGAGAAAGTCAGTTGAGTCGAGGCAGTTTTGTAGGCTCTCCCTAATTTTAGCTGTAGGTGACACTGTCTTTTCAATGAAAGCCATTGCCAGTGCACAACTCATCAATTCAGCCTTCCCTTCTCAAGTATAAGGACACATCAGTACCTGTGTGGCTGCATATAGAGAATTAAGGCATGACATTTATGTGCCAAGATGGGAAGACCTAAAAAGAGGACTAGGGAGCTTGGCATGGCATTTGTGGGTACCAGGTTGCCAAGGAAGCATATTGTATTGAAAGAGTTGCCTGGGAAACATTTAAAAATACATTGAATGGAAAAGCATATGTGATGTGCCCCCAAGTGTTCTGTGTGAATGAAATGCCATGGCTGATGATGGCACCAAGAGGCTGTTACTATTACATGTACAGATGCTGCAAGTGATGTGGTGTTATTTTTCTTCCCTTTTGTGTGTTTTTCTTCTTCTTCCCATACCCTGTTTGTAGAAAGTGCACAGAAGAAAAAATGTTTTGCTTTTGGCCGATGGATTAAATTAAATGTAGAAAGCTGTACATGTGGTCAGCAGCAGCTAGAGATGGTAAAAGCAATTTAGCTTCATTTAGGCAACCTAAACCAATTGACAAGAAGCCTGCACAATTCCTCCTCAAAAATAACAACACTGCTGAAACTCCTATAGGATAAAGATAAATGGTTTTCTGAGCATGAGCACTTTAATTTGTGCTAAAATGATATTTGGAGGCTCTGATGTCATTGCAATAGGACTTAGATGTAAACGTCATATAAAACGC